TGTAACTGGTGCCAGACCACTGAACCTCTGCTCCCGAAGGCGTAAGATCCAACCACTCGCCCCCGCCTCCTGGCCCAAATTACACAGGAGCATCCCACCATCCAATTTCAGGGGGGGGGGGCCGTAACCGCGGTGAGAAATCCATTCGGAGACCAGCAGGGTGAACCTGAAGGAACCCACCACCCTGACTCCCAAAATTCGAGCCCCCTGAACCATTGGCGCAGGCACGCCAAGCCTGGCGGCGACCGTAGCCGTCCCAAACCAGAATAAATGCCCCTTGAACTCCCCACCAACTTTCAGGCAAATGACGGAAACCTGCACCACCTCCGATCAGAACGGAATTTGTCAGGCCATCCTGGGAACCCGTTACATCGTGTTAGGAGCCCAACCATTACCCCGTGCATTCCATCTACCTTAGGAGAAGGCGGAAAAGCCAGGGCACGTCAACCCCGAAACATCCAAGAATCGCACAGATTCCATCGACGCATCAGCCACACCGCAACTGACTTACCCGTCCCAACGACAATAGAGTAACACTGGGGTAAAGTGTACTGTTACATGACAAGACAGCCCGCGCCGCCCCACGATGGTCCCAAAGGAAAAACCCACCTACCTGTTCTAGAGCCGGGCACCCCATGCCTACCATGCCACCAGAAAGGGGAAGCTCCAAGAACCCCAAAGTCCGTCAGAAAACTGATCCTTGCCAGTGTAATGGGCAAGAGTCAGCACACCATTGAGAGCCCAAATTGGCCCAAAACCCCCCCAAAACCTGCTGCAGCAGCAAACAGCTGGAAGTCAGCGGAAAGACTTGGGGGGGGCAGATTGCACAAGCCACCATTAAGGGAGGCCCAGAAGGAACCCCATACAGCCCCAAGGGCAATCCCAACAAGCAAAGCCCAGCGAACCCAGGAGAGTCCAAAGGTAGTGCAGCCTAAACCCACAACGCCCCTCAAAACCACCCACACATACTGCCCGATGTCCCAAACCGCAGTCAGGGGCAACCGACGTCCCATTGCAGGAATCGATCCCACTATCCAGGAGACTACAGCCCATATCCCAACCTACGGATATGGCCTGGGCCACGGAACTCCGAAACTCATAAAACTACCCGAGGAAAAACACTGTAGCAGCAGAGTGCGGACATGCTGCACCGACGGCCCCACACATAAATGACATCAGGAGCAACCTACGTGAAGGCACACAACCACCCAATCCTGACCGTCGGAAACACAAGCTGTAAACAATAAACCCGACGGGCGTACCGGCAGCAGCCGTAAAACCGATTCCACAGCCGCCTTTGTCAGCAAGGCCCCGCAGCCCCACCCACGCAGCCCGCTGCGCCGAGCCATCATCCCAAACCTAGCCCCTGGAAGGAAACGACAACTGAGCAAATAAGGAATCTGGAGATACTGACCCTGCTCCTCCTCCTTGGGCACCACAGCGAACTCCAGGGGTACCCTAAACGACTGGGAAGTAAACTTATAAGCGTTCTTGGTAAACTGGACCCACATCGCCCGATGGAGCTCCCACATGAACTGAGGGCCCTGCACGGAGAGTACCCACGTCCCCCCTCCCGACCGATTGCAGAGAGGACGGAAAAAACACGCTGTGCTGAGGGGTCAGGTGAGCCCCAAAGAAAACCAGCGGCAAAACCCATCCGGCCCCAGGCCAAGAAGGGTCGCACTGCCAACCGTTGACGAAAGTGCAAAACGTACCTCCACCAACCCAGCACAGGGACGATACGCGTCCCGAGAGTGTCCTGACCGCTGAACCCGCAGTGCCGACTCGGGGAGCCCTGTCCGATATGCGCCCTGGGGTGCATCCGACCACAGCATGCTCCCCACGACCCTCCCCGAGCCCCTAATGTCCCCCTTAGTCAAGGGACCCCCGTGGCAGGAGGGAACATCCTTCAATAAAAAACCCCATTCTCCATCTGCTCCCTAGCGTTACGCGCAAGCCAAGCGGGCCACATGAGCTCAGCAGCCCATAGTCACGTGAACCTGGGAGGCATCGCCGGCGCTATCAGCTGCGCCAGATGCTGCGGGAAAGCCCACCTAAATGTATGATACATACTGAAAAAGGAAAGGGGGTACCTAAATTTTGTTTTATTGTGGATTCCCCATATATTTTTAATTTTTTAAATTTTTTTTATATATTTAATTCTTCCCCTTGTACTTGACGTTGGATTCCTTTATTTTTTTGTCCAATAGGTAATTTACCTTGTATTTCTGTCCTGTAATTTTTTATTTTTTTTTTAGGAAGAAAGGAAGAAATAACATACGCACGCGAAGCGCTAAAAGAAGGGAAATGTACTCACCGGACGCAGCCTGGCATCCAAGCCCGGCAATGCTTGGGCACGGATCCATCAGAACTGCACAGATCCATGAACTGCAGCAGCATGCTGAGAAGAAGCAGCAGAGAAGATGAGCCCCCGCCCCAGAGGAGATGGCCGAGGTAAGTGACCTGGGGGGAGTCAGGCAAGGTAAGGGGAGCCCAGAGGGGGATAAAGATAGGGAGGGATAGAGAGAGGGGGGGGATTAGAGCAGAAGAGGGGGAGAGGGGGTGCAGGCCCACCAGAGAGGGGGGGTAGAAGAGAAAAACAGGAAATAGGAGGGAGGACCAGGGGGCCCAGGCAATGGAAAGCTGGGCCCCCTGGAAGAAAAGAAAAAAGGCCATCCAAATAGGGAGGGAGGGAGGGAGGGGAGACAGAGCCCTGGGAGCCATCCTCACTGGCAGAGGAGGCTCCCGACGGGCAAGGGGACCCCCCCAGACCCCCACGGCGGCCCGTGAGGACCAACTCACCTCCCCGCCGGCCGCGGGGGACCTGGACAGTTGCCGGATCACGGGATCCACTGCCCCCGGCCCGCAATCCAGCACTGGCGGCCGGGGTGGATGGTGTGGAGGGGGGGGAGAGGAGTAGGCTGCGCGGCAGCCACACCAGGAGGCCGCATCCCCGGCCTGGAGGTAGTGGAAGGAGCAGGCCGGCCGGGTGGCCCAGTAAGTAGCAGGCCGGGCGGCCATGGGGGTAGCAGGCCACGCGGCAGTGGCAGGCCTCGTGTCTGAAGGCCGTGCCACGCGCGCGGCCTCAGTAGGCCTCAAATCCTGGCCCCCAATAGTAGTAGGCCACGTGCCTGCAGCCCCAGACACGTGGCCTCCGCGGTGCCCCGGGCCCAGGCTCCTGCTCCTCAACTGGGCCCGGGGAGTAGGATCCAGGGACAGCCTGGCAGGCGGGCAGGAATGCCTGCCAGTGCTGGAGCAGCCCCCAGGGGCAGGTACAACAGGGGAGGCAGCAGGGGAGACCGCAGGGGGTGCCCCAGGGGGAGGTAGGCCACAGGGGGTGTCCACACCAGTAGCCCTACCTCCAGTAATTCTTGACAATTCCTCCCTTAGGTGCCGGCCACCATCCACGCTGCAGCAGCCCTGAGGGACGACCGGATCGCCTCAACATCCATCACCTCAGGCTGTGTCAATCTGCAGGCCCAGGCAAACAGGAGCAGGAGGACAGGAAACTGTTTGCTGGCCCGAAACCCAAGTGGCACTGAGGTAAGACCTCCCCCACACTAACTTACACAAAACATAATCCCACCCACACACTCTTTCCCAACCAATCCCATGCATCTATCCCCACACTCCTACATATGCCCTTGTCCGCTTAGCTGCGCTATCTCCCCAGGGCCTCTCCCCCAACTTGGGGTTACAGCCCTGAGTGCTCCTATCACAACTGGGACTACTAATGTAGTCTTTTTCCTATATTTCCTATATTTTCCTATATGTATACCCACTCCTAGATAGATAGATAGATAGATAGATAGATAGATAGATAGATAGATAGACAGACAGACAGACAGACAGACAGACAGATCCCCACTATCCCCTTTCTACCACATGTACCTGATGCATAATGTTGCAATCCTAAAGTGAATTTTCTAAAGTGCACAGAGCGGCTGTGCTTTACACAGAAGGTGGTGGCTGGCTATCACATATTGTGGGACTAGTAGCCACTTCATGTAAAAATCTTTATTTAAATTACCAACACAGAGAGAGGAAAAAGTGATGAGTCACTAGCCCTGTGGTATATATTAGTCATCCTTTTTTTTTTTGTCAATCTGTTTTTATTGTCAATCCACAAGTGAGGCATGCATAATATAAAATAAGTCAGTAGTATAGTACGATTCACATTTAGCATATCATACATAACTGTATTAGTAACAACAGGATTGAGGGTTTTTTAATAAAGCATTGAAGAAACAGTAGCAATGTTTCATGGTGACACTAAGCCCACTACCCCTAGTATGTTAGCTAGTAGCATGGTCTGTTGCTGTTTAGATGCAGAGAGGGCGACTCACCTCTTGACGCACTCTACAGGATAGGTGTACACACCAATGCAACATTAAGTAACAAGAGGCAAATACCCACTTTGTTAATGACCGACAAGTAGAGTTGAGTGGACACCTGGATGTTCGGGTCCAGCGGGTTCGGCCGAACTTTGAAAAAAAGTCCGGGTTCGTGAATGAACTTGACCCCGAACCCCATTGAAGTCATTGGGGACCCAAACTTTTGGCCACAAAAATGCCTCTAAAAAAGTCCTGGAAAGGGCTAGAGGGCGGCAAAAGGAAGTAAAATGGGGGTAAGAGTAGGACAAGTGCCCTGCAAACAAATGTGTATAGGGAAATCACTTAAAATAACATAAAAATTAAAAATACAGCTGAGCCATAAAATAACACTAGATGGAATCTTTGATTTTAGCTTTGGAAGAACATAAGTCAAACTCTAAAGCATGGCTGTCAGGAGGATCACCAGAATTATCCATTTGAGAGAGGGTTGGAGTGCAGGGTATTCTCTTTCATTGTTCATACTGAGCTCAACTCCTGATGCATGGAGAAAAGGCCTTCACAAGCATCTGCTATTGTGTACATAGTTTATACTGAGTGACGAGTGATGTCCCGAACGGTTCGCCGCGGACTCATCATTGAGTAAACTTTGACCCTGTACCTCACAGTCAGCAGACACATTCCAGCCAATCAGCAGCAGACCCTCCCTCCCAGACCCTCTCACCTCCTGGACAGCATCCATTTTACATTCATCGTGAAGCTGCATTCTTAGTGAGCTGTCCAGGAGGTGGGAGGGTCTGGGAGGGAGGGTCTGCTGCTGATTGGCTGGAATGTGTCTGCTGACTGTGTGGTACAGGGTCAAGGTTTACTCAATGATGAGTCCGCGGCGAACCGTTCGGCGAACTGTTTGGGACATCACTATAAGAGACCTATAGGTTGAGAAGGCGGTGATCATGGCGGTGTAGGTGGAAGCAGCGGTGGAGGAGGAGGAGGTAGCCAACACTGTTTTTTATATATATATATATATTTTTTTTATTTTAACTGGGGTAGCCACCAAAATATTGGGACATTTAAAAAAAGAAACATTTACGGCCTGCGGTGCATTTCTTGCAGTCCTGATGCATGGAGAAATGCTCAACTCCTGATGCATAGAGAAAAGGCCTTCACAAGACTCTGCTATCGTGTACATAGTTTATACTAAGTGACCCATAGGTTGAGGAGGCGGTGACCATGGCGGTGTAGGTGGAAGCGGCGATGGAGGAGATGGAGGTAGCCAACACTGTTTTTTATAAATATATTTTTTATTTTAATTGGGGTAGCCCCCAAAATATTGGGACATATAAAAAAATAAAAATTTGCGGCCTGCGATGCATTTCTTGCAGTCCTGATACATGGAGAAATGCTCAACTCCTAATGCATGGAGAAAAGGCCTTCACAAGCCTTTGCTATTGTGTACATAGTTTATACTAAGTGACCCATAGGTTGAGGAGACGGTGACCATGGCGGTGTAGGTGGAAGCGGCGGTGGAGGAGGAGGTAGCCAACACTGTTTTTTTATAAATATATATTTTTTATTTTAATTGGGATAGCCCCCAAAATATTGGGACATATAAAAAAAGAAACATTTGTACCCTGCTCTCTCTTATGCTGTGCTGGTGCCTCTGTGCGACCAGCGCCTCTTCCTCCAAACTGCACACATCACTCGCAGGACCTCATCGTCATCCACATCATCTTCCACCCAGTCCTCAAACTTGCCCTCCTTGCCGGTCTGCACACTGCAGAAAGCCACAGCAGTTGGCACATGTGTTTTTCCAGCATGTAAAGTCTGCAAAGGACATATGGAAATTGTTTTAGAATTGTATCCAGGCAACAGTTTTTCCTATAAACTGACCTCTCAGTTTGACTTTTGAGGGTATTGCCCCAGAATTACAATATTGTTTAAGTACCTCTGACCTATTGATAACTGGTTTAAATATATCAGCTTGTTATCTGGTAGTTTCTAGTGTAGACAATATCAATCTGTTTTCTATCACTTAGATCTGTTTAACAAGTGTTGTAGGTGTGAAACAATAATACAAGTGACCGATGTAGTAAATTCGAATCAAAGTTCCATTTGCAAAAAACTAATTCTCGCCCATCTTCTGTGGGTTATTGCATTTTTAAGATGTAGACTTATTGTATCACACTAGCCATGCACAGGTAGATTGTCTGGTACATTGTATTGGTGTTTGGTTTTTAACTTTGTAGTTGTGTCTTAACAGAATATAGAAATGTATATTAATGCTTCTGTATATGAAGCGATCACAATAACACTTATTTTTCACTTTTTTTAAAAAAAAATCAGGCTAAACAAAACTTGGTAATTAACAATATGACTTCTGAAAAGCACATGAAAGGATGCTGTATGATTTAACAAAAAAAAACACACTACATGAAGGTCCTGTTCACTAGAGTGTGTAGTCATGAATGTAACCAGTAAAACTTTGTTTTTACAGCCACTGGTTGGCCCATACATGTTTGAAAACTTGTTTAATTTTGTTATAGCATGACTTGTAGTCTTGTTTTTAATTTGTCTATAATACATATTTTTGTATGACACTTAGTGTGTTTTTTCATTGATTAATGAATTTTAATGGTCTATGATAATTAACATGTCAACAGGCAAACGTAATCCGAATGATTTGTCTCAGTCATACCTTCTATACTACCTGCACCATAGGCAACATTAATTTGTCTTTAGACTTTCTTGAGAAGCGGTAACTAGCCAGTGTTGCACACATACAGCAGATATGAAGTGCACACCCCAAATGTACTATTTAGCACCAAAACAATTAGAATTTTTAAAACTGCGATGTAACCACACTATTAGACGCCTCAATTTGACTCTCAGATATGAACAGCAGGCCCCAAAATGTACTATTTAGCAGATTAGCAGCAAAACAATTAGAATGTTTACAAGTGCACTGTAACCGCAGTATTTGACGCTTCTATTTAACTTTCAGATATGAAATGCATGCCCCAAAATGTACTATTTAGTAGATTAGCACCCACAAAATTAGAATGTTTACAACTGTGCTGTAAACACACTATTAGACGCTTCTATTTGACTCTTAGATATGAAGAGCAGGCCCCAAAATGTATTATTTAGCAGATTAGCAGCAAAACAATTAGAATATTTACAACTGCGCTGTAAGCGCACTATTAGATGCTTCTATTTGACTCTCAGATATGAAGAACAGGCCCCAAAATGTACTATTTAGCAGTTTAGCACCCAGAAAATAAGAATTTTTACAACTGCCCTGTAAGCGCACTATTAGACGCTTCTATTTGACTCTCACATATATACAGCAGGCCCCTAAATGTATTATTTAGCAGATTATCAGCAAAACAATTAGAATTTTTACAACTGCGCTGTAAGCGCACTATTAGACGCTTCTATTTGACTCTCAGATAAGAAGAGCAGGCCCCAAAATGTACTATTTAGCAAATTAGCAGGAAAACAATTAGAATGTTTACAACTGCCCTGTAAGCGTACTATTAGACGCTTCTATTTGACTCTCAGATATGAAGAGTAAGCCCAAAATGTAGTATTTAGCAAATTAGCACCCAGAAAATAAGAATGTTTACAATTGCGCTGTAAGTGCACTAGTTGACTCTTCTATTTGATTCTCAGATATGAAGTGCACCCCACTAATATACTAGTTTGCAAAATTCTTTCCTAAGTTGTCCCTCACAGCGGCAGCATCCTCTCCCTACCTTAATAAGAGCTCATGTGCGTGCGGCGCTACACGACTCCAGCTTATATATAGAGGCTGGGTCACATGCTGCACTAGCCAATCACAGCCATGCCATTAGTAGGCATGACTGTGATGGCTTCTAAGGGCACACAAGTCAAATGCTTGTTGATTGGCTGCCCTGCAGCCTTTCAAAACGCGCCATTTAATCGCTGAACACCGAACTCCAACCCAAACATACAGTGATATGTCTGTGTTCGGGTCCGGGGTCCAAAAACCGTAATGTTCGATACGAACCCGAACTTTACAGTCCGGGTTCGCTCAACTATACCGACAAGCGGCACAAAGCTAAAGTTAGTGGCCTGGGAGGTGAGAGAGAAGGATACTTATACTCCTATACCAACGGGAGGAGAATGGACTGGACGTGTCTCATAGGACTATAGTCCTTTGTCAAAATATGCAGTGGGAAATAACATAAAGGCAAAACGGGTTGAACGCAAGTTATAACAAAAAGAAACTAAGGAATAGCTAAGTGCTAGTACGAGCTAGCATATAATATTCAGGCAAGTCCCGTGGATGTGGAGTTTCCCCGTTGGGTTGCTGGAACAAACGGGCGAACTGCAGCCAGGTCCCATGTAGTCTTCTGAGATGGGAGTGCCTTGCCCGTGAACCTGTCTCTGCTGGTGAGAGCCTAAATTGTTGGAGGATGCTGGCCACTTCAGACCCTTCGGTTACTTTGAGAGTCCCAGAGTCTCATGGAATTAACAGGCTTCTTGGTGCTCCCTACTTGTAAGGCATTTTGTGTTGTATCAGCACCGGAGCGCAGACATGAAGGCTTGTTTATCTGGACTGTGCTGGAAATGGATGATAACATCCCTGCCCATTTGAGAGGAGGCAGTATGAAGGTTGAGTTAGTCAGTAGCAACCATCTAGGGTCATAGCTTTTGCTTGTTTGGGAGAAAATATACAGGAGAGCAGTCTCCGAATGAAGTGGGGGATTTCAGCCAAAGCTAAACTCTTGGCCAGACCTTTTATCATTATGTTTTTCCAACGTCTGTGGTCTTCCATGGCTACTACCTGTCACTGGGTTTGAGCCAGGTCATGTTTGAGTGTAGTCAGTTCATTTTCTAACCCAGTAATGCGGCTCTCTTGGGCAGCAGTGTTAATTTCAGTGTCATGCAGGCACACAGATACCCCATGGATTTCATCTTTAAATGAGTTGATATCTCCTGCAATGTTACGGCGGGGATCCTCCAGTAAGGGCTTCAGTTTCTCTTCAGTCACTGGAGGACTGTCCTGCTGTTGAAGTCCATCCATTCTCCGTATGCCCGCCATTATCTCCGACTCCGTAAGTCAGATATGGATTCTTCACTGTACGTCCGGGAAAGTGCGTCTGAGAGGAGCACCATGACAGGCCTCATGGGATTTTGCGGCTTCCACAGCAGACCGCCGATATCGGCAGTGGGCCAGGGTTTTTCTGCCCGGTACTTCTTTATTTTGCGCCCCATAGCTACAGCAAGACTGGATGCTTGCTTTGGAGGCTGGTGTGGTAGGTATTATTGTGTAAATTTACGATTTTATACCTTGCATTCATGGAGCTATTAAAGATGCGTTCAGTCCGTGCGGCTGTTGGCTCCACCCCCTATATTATATTAGTTATCCTTGTGTCTCCTTGTCAGCAAGGTTATTTTACTTGTCAGCCCCTCTCATCATGTTTGAGAAATCAGTATTAAGAGATCTTAACAAAATTAGCTACAATAAGTATGATCCTCAGAACTCACATCAGAGAGACTGGCTAGCAAAGAATTCGAAGATGACAGAGATATTGTCATCAAGCCAGCAGACAAATTTACATTGAGGAAGCAAACAAACAACTTAATGATGCTGCAATATACAAAAAGCTATCAGTAGACCCAACATCCATGATACAAGAGAAACTATCCTCCTTTTTAAAAAAGGGATTAGAAAAAAACATTTTAAACAAATATGAATACGATTATCTCTACATTAAAGACCCAAACATTTTGGTAATCTACTTTCTACCTAAAATACACAAAGATATTGAACATTTCCCAGGAAGACCTACCGTGTCTGGAATTAATGCCTCTCTGTGCAATCTATCTCAGTATAGTGACACTTTACTCCAACCATCGGTCAAACTTATGAAGTCTTATCTGAAGGACTCCATGTCACTATTAAGGTTTTTAAATGTTTTTTACTGGCAACCAGATTTTATTCTAGTAACGTGCAATGTCACTTCTCTGCATACCATAATTCCTCACCACTTTAGTTGTCAAGCTATTAAAACTATTTTATCTAAAGTAAAAAGAATTTCTGATATTCAGATCGATTTTATCCTGGAGGGTATTAATATTATTTTAAACAACAATTATTTCAGTTTTTTTTTTTACCTTCAGAAGAGAGGGACAGCTATGGGGACCAGGTTTGCCCCCAGCTATGCCAACCTGTTTATGGGAGTCCAGTGCCATTTGGGGTGGGCATGCCTGGGAGCAAAGCCTGGGCTCTTATTTTAGATACCTTGATGATTTTTTTTTTTTTATATGGAAGGACTCTGAGGATTTTCTCAATTCTTTTATAACACACCTCATCATTAACAACAGGGGTATAATTTTATCTTGTAAATATAGTAAACACACAACTTTTTAGACTTAAATATTTTTATAAAAGATGAGGCATTTTACTCAAAAACATTTTTAAAAAAGGTAGGTACTAATACAGCAATAGACCAAACCAGTTGCCACTATAAGCCATGGCTTGAAAGTGCCCCCAAAAGCCAATTCTTACATATATGTAGAAATTGTTCTCACATTAACGATTTTAACAAACAAGCACTTCTTTTAAAAAAACTTTTTACCAAAAAAACTATTCACCAACAAAACTAAATAACACTATAGAGAAAATCAGAAACAAACCAAGAGAAAATCTTCTAACTTATAAAGACAAACATAATTTAGATGTTCCAACTCTCCCTATAATTTTTAACTATAACTACAAAAGTGGTTATATCAAAAAATAATCAATAAACACTGACACTTCCTAAGACAAGACGACCTTCTTAGAGAAATTTTACCTATAAAACCTATTATTATTTTTTAGAGGTGCACCAAATTTTAGATCTATTTTAAAAATTATACCAAAGAAAATAAACAAAACACCAACCATACTTTTTTAGAAGGAGCGAAAGGATTTTATAAATGTAAACGCTGTATTGTCTGCAGAAGCACTAACCCTTCTACACAATCCAAGGTCATCAGTTTTAAATCTAATAGAACCAACAAAAGTTATAACATCAAAGACTTTATTGGATGTAATACAAAAAATTAAATTTATCTATCTGAGTGCCCTTGTGGCCTCCAATATATAGGTATGACTACCAGGTGCTTGAAAACGAGATTAGGAGAACACTGCAGGAATATAAAAAATGGATACCAAAATCATTCTGTATCTAAACATTTTATTAATCATAGCCAGGACCCCAAATTTCTCAAATGTATTGGAATCAAAAAATGTCGAGGGGGTAATATAAAAAATATTTTAGGCACATCAGAAATGGAATGGGTTTTAAATCTAGAGACCTTAGTTCCCCAAGGTTAAAATGTAGATTTTGATTTGTATAATTTTTTTATAAAATACTTTTTATATTCCCACACAAACGTATATCTCTGCCTTTTATGCCCCTCTATGTTTATATAGTTTGTATAACTTTCTTTTTCTTTTTATTATATTTTTTTTTTACATGTCTTATTGAAATATTATATCTCCAGCTGCTATACCCCTCTGTGGTCATATTTCCAATGTATATATTTTGCATATTCATCTCCTTCCACTCAGTATTCTTAATATATTTTAATGTAATAGTAATACTATATATATTTTTATGTATTCATCATATGCCTTTTATTATATGTATTCAAGTGAATGATTATGCAATAATTGTTAGAAGTTTAAAACTAACTACATATATTTTGATATACTCCTAATATGCATTTTTTGATATTTATTCAAATGAATGATTATGTAACAATTCTTAGAAGTTTAATACTAACTGTTCTTATTTCCACTCTTATGAGGTTTGCAATATGTATGCTTGCTGATTATTTTCCCTATATCTACCTTCATCTCTATTTAATTATTACATTCACTATTTCTCTCTCTCTCTCTCTCTCTCTCTATATATATATATATATATATACATATATATATATATATTACCTTTATTATGTTTCACTTCCTTACTATTCCATGTTACTACAATTCCCACGAAATTTCGCATTTCGCATCAACTTTCCCACTACTCTGCCCGATTTCCCTCTGTTCCTCCCACTCCCTCATTACCTCGCTTCTTTTTCTGTTTAACAGCCTAACTATATCACTACAGTTCACATGATGCACCTTGCACTCACTTCCGCAAGTAATATTGCTCGCTTGCTTATGTGTAAACCACATTTCCCAGTATACTATGCACACTGCCACCTATGACCTCTATATCGTGTGAGTCATGTGACTCACTTTCCTAAAGCAATCTAAAGCTCCTACACCTCGTTTTTAAGCGGTTTTAGTCACAATAGACACAGCTAAGTGTCATCTATTTCCATTTATTAAATGTGTTATATATAACTTTCATCCTATTAGCTGCTGAAAGGTGACTTTCTTGGTGCCAATTTTTCAATCATGATGTACCTATATATACCACTACTAGTCAGGTTGTTAATTTTATCCAATTTGAAAAAGCCCTAGTGGCGAAATGCATAATGGTATTACTGTTTGTGTATTTTATCTAATTAAAAGGTTTTTTGGTTAGTATCCTGTGCCAACTATCTTTTTATACACAATTCTTTGTTTATTACCTAGCTTTTACCTATTTTATTGTGTGTTTACAAGTTTATCCGAGGTGGGGATCATACCACCAATGCTGTTATCACAGTGCAGTCGGCCTGCACTATACTTGTAAGTACATTTTTATTTTACGTTCATTTTATACCCTGTATACACTGAGAGCACTATCAGTTTTTTTTTTATATACCCCTCTCCTGAGCGTTGGACATCATTCCGTCCAGAAGACAACCACCATATAGCCTATAAGCGGGGATCATACCGCTGTACGCCCTTCATACCTGAGCTGGATACAGCTCTTTTAAATGTGAGTTGAATATATATATATATATATATATATATAAATATATCTTTCTCTTCACTTTGATCCATACATTCTATATGATTAGTTTCCTTCATTTTGTGTCTTTCATACAACAAGAACAATTGGACTGCTATAAACACTGAGGATACCACATCTCCAAAAGCACATTAAAAGACATTTATCTCTAGAGTGCAATTCTGAACCATTTGGACTATTTATGTGTACAAGTAATATCCTAATTACAACTCCTCTATTGCACTTTATGTTTTATTTATATGTTTTTTATTTTATCCCTATGTTGTGATTAGATATAGTGCACTTTATTCCCTACTCATACATTTTTAACATATTTATCATATTTGGTGCAGCCCTGCACTACTGTTTCCTGTGTCTCACATTTTCCTTTTAGAGGGTTAGAGGGTTACCCTCTGCTGGGCCGCTGCCTATACACTTTCTTTTTTATGATTAGCACTTAGTGTTTCTAAGTGTGTAGTTGGAGATATTCTGGAGAGTTTTACAGAAGCTTCAACTGTCTAAGAGTTGTGCTAAGAGCTTTCTTTTCTACTGTTTCAGATTCATCTGTAGGAAAAGGTTACTGATTGCACAAGGTTTGAATTCCTGTTGGTAATTATAAGGCATTTGATTAGATTACTTTCTATTGATTGCTGTTTAAATTAGCTATTGCTTGCAAATAAGCAGAGGCCTACCCAGGTGTTAAACATTCCTATGGGGGGTGATTTTAGGAGTTATATAAGGCTTGTTGCCATTAGCTTGGCTAATATCGCTTGGTTGCTACTTCTAAGTGCTATTTCTAAGTGTGTAGTTGGAGATATTCTGGAGAGAAACTGGAGGTAATCAGAGGTATTCAGGAGGATAAATACAAAGTTAAGATTTGTTTGATTTAAATTATTCTCCTAATTGGAATGGCAGACTTAGTTCAGTGTAATAGTTGCTAAGCATTTGTTTCACGTTCCACTTTTTGGAGGTTTGGTTGTTGTCTAATCTGTAGACAGTTCTCTATCTTGCGGCAGGAGATTGTATTTTTGATGTCTGAGATTTGTAAATTATCTGGTGAACAAACTCAGACTGGAACTGCTGCAAAGCCACTGCTGCAGAGACATACTAGGAATGGCAGATGGATTACTGTAGGATCTGGTAGACTTAGAGTTGTGGATAA